ATCAAATGAGAACCACAAGAAAGTTACAAACCCCGTGAGAACCGATTTAAAAATAATTTGTTACATATTTTTTTCATCAAATGCTAGGATTTAAGATATTGCTTCACAGTTCACATATATTTGTTCCATAATGTGATAATTTCACATGTATTTGTTTCACCATATAAATATTTTTTATATGTATTTTTCATTTCATTAAGTGAATAAAAAAAGTAAAACTACAAGGGTGTTGTCTGATTGGTTTGAGCTTGGGCTCCAAAGGTCAAAAATACCTGGAGGTCCCAGGTTCAAATCCAATGAGGAATAAAGACCCTCGTGACCATGAAGGTTCAAATACGATGACTCTAGGCTATCCACAAAGCAGATGGTCGTCCTGTAATTAGTCGGCTGTCATATCGAGTTGGATATTCAGGTTAATCACAAAAAAAATTATCACATGCAATTTTTCTTCATAAGGTGAACATAAACATATGTGAAACAATATGTTAAATTATAGCTTTTGATCAAAAAAACTAATATAAAAAAAATAATTTTATATCAGTTCTCACAAGTTTGTAACTTTTTTATAGTTCTCATTTGATTATCATCTTATACACACACACATAATGATATCAAAATAAATAAAATAAGATATTATTTTATAATTTGATTTGTTTGAATTAAAAAATTAATTATATCAAATACGGTTTAATTTTATTGTTTTATCGTAATGATGAAAAAAGATATGGTTTTAATGTAATTAAAACTTTAATTTAAACAAATCAAATCATAAAACCATATCTTATTTTTAGGGCGAATAAAATAATTTTTTTTTATGATTTGATTTGTTTAAATTAAAAAAAAATTATGTTAAAGACAATTTAATTTTATTGTTCCATTTCTACCATTGCAATAAACAACTTATTATCCATATTCTAATACCAAAATCATTGAAAATCACTAAGAAATGAGTTCCAATTTTATCATTCTAAAATTAAAGTTTTCAGTTTTCATATTGTTTTTCATTCAAAAAGTCAAAATCAATTATTTAGATTTTAACCAAATAAAATGTTCATACATATCCTCATCTTTGTAACCTTAAATTGAACAAATTCCTATATAAATTTTAACCAGATTTTCATACTGTAATGGGGAAAAAAAATACTAAAACAATAAAATTAAATTGTATTTAATATAATTAATTTTTTTAAGGGTGAATTACACTGGTGGTCCATGTGATTTGCTCAAATTTTGGATTTGATCTCTAAAACAAACTATCTACACTGATCATTCTTAAGTTTTCATTTTCATAAAACCTATTATCTCTCCACTTAACAAGTTAACTAGCACTGTTATCAAGGACTAACCGGTCTTTGAACAAACTATAGGAACCAAAAGCGCAATCTACCTTTTAATTTAATGTGATTCATTTTTTTTTTAGTTTTTTTACTAAAAATATATTTTTTATATCTAATCACAAATCAAATATCTTAAAATAAATTATATATTAAATGAAAATATTTATATTTATTTAAAACCTATTAAATTTAAAAAAAAAGTTTAGCTTTAAAAAATCTCAAGTTTAAAAAAATAGTTGTTATTTGCACCCATACCTATTAAAAAGTCAAAAAAAGATCTAGTAAAAAACATTAAATAATCTGAAAGTTTAAAAAATGACATCATTTCAGATATATCTCTCTCTCTCTCTTGTTTCCCCTCTCTGTCTTTTACTTCTTTTTTTTTGTTTTTTAATTAATAGATAATAATTGTATAGTAAAATATGTTTTTTTTGTCCCTGAGGCTGTAAAAAAATGTGGATTTCGTCCATGTGGTTTCAAAATTTTGGTTTTCAACCATATGGTTTTTAATTCGTTTTTATTTCTATCCATGAGGTCGAATCACTATTTAAGTATGAAACACTAAAATAAAAATGAATTATAAACGCTAGAGACAAAAAAAGCAATAAATTTCAAATCATAAAGACAAAAAAGGTAATGGATTATAAAGTATATGGATGAAAATTATAATTTCAAAACCATGAGAACGAAAATTGAAATTTTCAACAAACCACAGGGACTAAAACGTAATTTACTCATAATTATAATTTTTATTTGTGTTATATATTAATCAAATTTAAAATCAATAAACTAGAAAGACAATATGCTTATTTATAAAAAAAATAATATATCATTTATTTCATAATTTTACAAATTTTAATTATGTATAGTTGTATACAGTCGTATGTTATTCAATATACAAATCGAATAACTTTAAAAATTCAAAATACTGATTCTTAATTTTTATTTTATCCACATTTTCAAAGAATATATCATTAATCTTTCTGTAACTTTAAAAATTAAAAAAATAATTCATCGTCTTTTTTTTAACTTTAAAACTTATAGAGTAACTAATCAATTCTTATTTAAGTTTTGAATATTCAAGTAATAATTCCATCAGTTTTTCAACAATCTTTAAAAATTTAGATAATAACTCGTCACTTTTTATTAAAACTTCAAATATAAATTAGTTTAAGTTGTATTATGTTTTATCTATAAAAACAATATTGTTGTAATAAAAATATGTAAAATAAATATTGTTATATATAATAATAATTATTATAAATATAAAATGATGTTAATGTTGAAAATTTTATATTAATAGAAATTTAAGAATTTAAAATAAAATAATTCATTTTTTATTATTTGTATTCTTGTTTAAAAAACAATATGTTTTTTTTTATCTTAGATATTAAATATTAATACAAAAACTAATAATAATAAAATTAACTATAAATAAAAATATTTAACATAACAATATAATTAAAATACAAATAAAGTTGGATAATAATGTAACCGTTAAGTTATAATGAATAGTAGATAGGAAGGGGTGTATTAACCATGACTGTTCCGACTGACTTATCCACACCTAACACTAATCCTAGGAGCGTGGAATTCAGCCAGAAAAATCCCCAAATCTCCGGTTGTTTTAAAGTGAAAGAGAATTATTCGTGATCTTTCTCATCAACAAAATGGAACTACAAATAGGTAGAATACACAAGACAATCGACTCCTATAACTAGGGAGATCATAATCAACTCCTATGAGATTCTAACTACCAATTATAACACAATTCTAATAGATTTACATAATCACAAATATTTGTTATAACATACCCGACTCGAACCTGTGACTTCTGACGATAATCCCTAAAGCCTTAGTTGAGTTAACCCCACCAGGTTTTATAAATGCCCTCTTGATGCGTGTTCGACTTGAGCAACGGTTCTAATGAAAAGAACTTATTGCTTGCAAAAATAGGGTTTAGCAAAGGTACTTGAGCTTGCTTTGGCCCTATCTCTGCATTCATACTCGTATTCTTCTTCGTTTGAAGTAGTTAGCACCCATGGATGCTTTCGTATCATCGATGCCAATGTTCCTTCGAGCTCCATTGCTACTCCCTTCATGGCAGGTCTTTCGTCTCTTTTCACTCGCATGCATCTTTCTGCAAGTCTTGAAACGATGATGATCGGAATTCTTATATGCTAATTGCCTGAAATCCCTCTCATTCCTCACTAGGAACTACTTCGTTCAGCAGCAAATGTTCATCAACAACCTGGAAGAGTCTCCCTTCTTTCAAAGAAGACAGGAAATACATGGCAAGGTTAGTTGATTCGTCTGCAAGTATTCAGGGTCTAAGTAGCCTAGTGTTCCTTGTACTATTGTAGCCAACTCAATCTGATCCGTAGAATTAGCTTAGATGCTCCGAATTCAGATACTTTTGCTATATAGGCATCATCTAGAAGTATATTTGTTGGCTTGATATCTCGTGAGGCTACATGCACATATTGGCGAGATCGGTAGACATTGGCTCTGATACCATGCAAAAATATGTATTACTTTGCTCTCAGAAAGAACTCTTCAGGAGACAAGACAACGAAGTTCTCAATATATATTGATGCGAAATGTTTAAAGTCTAGCTGATATGTGACTTTAATTGACGTGTCGAAGTAGCTCAACATAAAAACTAAAAAAATGGGCCACTTTTTTAATTTCTTAATGAGCAATTTAACTGAAATACATGTTCCATCTTTCTTGTTAGCTCCAGAGAAACCTTTTGGACAACGACACACATATCCTCCGTCATCATCAATGCAATCATGTTGGCAAACGCCCGGATTTTTGCCTTCACACTCATTAATATCTATAAAGTATATAGTCATTTCGTCAAGCATTTCATTAGAACTCCATTTGTGATACTGCTCATGTTGCTACCACCTGTCGAAATGCATCCAGTGCTATCGAACTCCGTCCCTCTTTTGCCTATAATATGTGCATGTGTGTCACACCCGATAGCAATAAACACGCTCTTGGTTGAGATCCAAATCACTCAACGTCAAAGATGTTATGTTTCTTTCAGTTCGACCAGTGCTTTTTGTAGCAATCAGAGGCTACAAACGTCCAAATCTCCATCTCGCTCTCGTGCGTTATCGACATATTTGTAATAACAATGGTGCTATCTCTAAATAAAGGTACGGGTTGGCTGGATGATCGGTCACAAGTTACACGGAAATCAGAATGTATGCTTGCTCATTCTTATTGGTGAGTTTTTACACAATTCATGTTATGAGAATAACTCATAATGATAACGTTATCTTACTAAATGTCAACTTAAATCGTTGAGACATCTTTGTTATGATATTTTAAACATATAATATATTCAAATAGAGTTCGATTCAAATGATAAGTCTAAATATCTTGTTAATGTATTAAAAGAAAGTTTATACATAAATCATTGAAAAACTCCGATGACCAGATATGGTTCCATTGTTCAGAGTTCAATTGTTCTAACTCTGATCCATACTTAGAATTTTCAGTGATAACTCAGAACTCGGATCAAGAAGATCAGAGTTATGATTAAACTATACTTATTGAAATTCCACTAAGTTCCAGATCATGCATCCTGAAACATAAACATCACTAAGTACGACTCGACATAAAATCCGTAAACCTCGGGACGTTGCCTTGCGACCCCGCCAGCTAAGCTAATCGGTCGGTAGGACCACGTACCTCCAGGAGTGCTGCCGGTTGGACCCCGTAACGGGGCGTGGCGCCTTTCGGTGATACAAAATCACGTCTTGTATTTATTAATTATGATCAAAATCATTAAGGGTCAAAGAATGCTTGCTATGGAGCTAATAGAGTAATAGGGTTTCAATCGTTGAAGTTTCCAAGTGGTTTTACGATTTCTTAGCCAACTTCCCGTGTGCATAGAAATTGCTTATTCTATGTTTGATTATTTCTAATTTAGACGAATATTACAAAGTCAATATAATATTTAAAATTCATTAATTTTAGTAAATAAAAACAATAATCATAGCAGGTAAGGCCAGCTTGCACTGATAGAAAAATATAAAATTCATTTATGTAAATAAAAAGAGATCACTGTTTCTTCATCAGAGGTCCACTAAAGTTGTCCCTAATTGTCTTCCACGAAGAACCTTGGGACGACCAATTACTAAGTCTTTATGGCAATGTCCATATAACATCTCTATTGATCCTTGTCGATTAATACCCAAAATAACAACTTCACATAAGCAACCATGCATTTACAGATACTACTAGCAGTAGCTGCAGCAGCAGCAGCTATGGCTTTTTTGGGGCCAGCAACCGCTCAAGATTCATGTGAAACTTCATGTGGTGATCTGGCTATTGCATTCCCCTTTGGTTCAAAGGATGGATGCTACCTCAATTCTGACTTCCTAGTAACTTGTAACCGATCATCTGGCGAGCCCATACTTTTTCTTGGAGAAAGCGAAACCAATCTTGTTATTACAAATATATCAACCTCTGAGAGTGAGATGGAGATTATGATGTTTGTAGCCCGTGATTGCTACAATTCCAGTGGTCCAGTACAAAGAACAAGTTCATTTTTGAGGTCGGGGGATTTCTGGATCTCAACCAAGAACAGGTTTATTGCCGTTGGGTGTGACACAAATGCGTATATTAGCGGGAGAAGAAGGAACGAGTCTGGTATTGGTACCGGATGCATTTCTAGATGTTCTAGCAACATAGGCATCACAAATGGGTCTTGCTCGGGAGTTGGGTGTTGTCAAGTAGAAATCCCACAAGGAATGAGGTCTTTTGACATCCGTCTACGCAGCTACGATAACCATACAAATATATTGGACTTCAACCCTTGTAGCTATGCTTTTGTGGTGGAACAAGAAAAATACAACTTTTCTACCAATCATCTGCTTGATTTTGTAAGTGATCAAGGCAGCAAGATGCCGATGTTACTTGATTGGGCAATTGGTAACCAGACTTGTCAGATAGCAAGCAAGGAGCCCGACACATTCTTGTGCAAGGGAAAAGGTCAATATTGTGTTGACGCATATGGACATCCTGGATATCGCTGTCGATGCAAAGATGGTTATGAAGGCAACCCTTATATTGAAGATGGCTGCAAGAGTAAGTGTTAAATTCCATATATATATATATATATATATATCCTTTATTTTACTTCCAAACCTTAATTGCTTCACCCAAAGTTTGCTTCTAATGAAATGCTTGACGATTTACTATATATTCTACAGATATTAACGAGTGTGAACGCAAAGATCCTCGTCTTTGCCAACATGAGTGCATTGATCTCGACGGAGACTATGAGTGTCGTTGTCCAAAAGGTTATTCTGGAGGTGACAAGAAAGATGGAACAGGTTGTACTGCAGATGAATCGCTCGTTATAAAAATTGTAGCAGGTAAGAAATTGAAATTCGCCCTCTTTTTCAGTTTATATCTTGAGCTACTTCGACACGTCTATTAGAGTCACATGTAACATTTCTAATCAATATAAGTTGAAAACTCCCTTCTCTTCTTAAAGATTTATTTTGAAGAGTAAACTAATGAGGTTCCACATATTTTCACATGGTATCAGAGTTGAGGTCTATAACTCTCGGCAATATGTTCCCCTCCATCCCACGTCGGCAAGACTTGGACCATTTATATCCAATATATGTTGGAGCCTTTTTTTTCTCTCTTCTAGACCTATTATGGAGAATAACCTAAGAGGGTTCCATGTATTCTCACAAATAATCATCATTTTACATATAAGCTAATCCTTCTTGTTGCAGGTACTTTAGGTGCTGCCATATTTCTGCTTGTATTCATCGCCTGGTTGTACTTGGGACTCAAGAAGCGTAAGCTTCTTATGCTTAAGGAAAAATTCTTCAGGCAAAATGGTGGTATAATGTTGCAGCAAAGAATTTCTGGTGAAGGGAATTCTCATCACGACCAAGCCAAAGTCTTCACCATAGAGGAGCTTAAGAGGGCAACCAACAACTATGATGAGACCAGGATTATCGGAAAGGGTGGCTTTGGCACGGTTTATAAAGGTGTTCTATCTGATAAAAGAACCGTTGCCATCAAGAAATCCAAACTAGTAGATCAAACCCAATCCCAGATAGAGCAATTTATCAATGAAGTGGTTATCCTTTCCCAAATCAATCATAGAAATGTGGTGAAGTTGATTGGATGTTGCTTAGAAACGGAGGTCCCCTTGTTGGTTTATGAATTCATTTCAAATGGCACACTCTCTGATCACGTACACAACGAAAGCAGGTCGTTGGCTCTTACTTGGGACATCCGACTCAGAATAGCAACCGAGACTGCTGGAGCACTTTCATATTTACACTCTGCGGCCTCTGTCCCGATCATCC